CTATCTTTTTTCACTATGTAGGTTTTACGGATAGAACTCAGGTCTTCAGTCTTGGCAGCAGATAATCTTACCCATTAAGTCATCTAGCTAGCCCTAAATTAAGTTTTTCAAATGTCAATAACCTATGCACCAGAAATAAGTCTCAACATTTTCATTATTCACAGTAGGTATGTACCTGGGCTACAAGAATCTTCATTTTAAACTGACTCAGTCTTTGATAATCCCAATTTCTTTATGTTATTTTCTCTATCTGGCCACAGTGAGGCTTTGACATGTTTCTTCTTTACTCCTGAAAACGTATTTAAATATTACTGTATGTCTTGGTCAGTGTTATATTGCTATGAAGAGACACCATGACTATGGCAACTCCTGATAAAAGAAAGCATTTCATTAAGGCTTACTTACAGTTCAGAGGGTTTGGTCCATGATCATCATGGCAGGAAGCGTAGCAGCATGCAGGCAGACATGATGCTGAAGAAAGAGCTGAGACTACTACATCCAGATAGGAAGGCAGCAGGAAGAGAGGCATTTGAAACCCTAAAGCCCATCCCCAGAGGCACACTTCCTCCACCAAGTACACACCTCCAACAAGGACAAAAACCTCCAAATCGCTCCCAAGTAGTGCCACTCCCTGATGACTGAGCATTCAAACATATGAGACGGGGGGGGGGGCATTCTTACTCAAAGATCACCCTGAACAATTAATTTAAGTAAAAAGATTGAAATATTTCTGGGTAAGAAATAATTATGATCCAGGCATGGTGACACATGTCTTTAATCGTAGCACTTATGAGGCAGAGGCAGGCTGATTCTGTGAGTTTGAGGCTATCCTGGTCTACATAGTGAGTTCTAGGACAGTCGGGGATGCATAGAAAGAAGTTGACTAAACAAGAAGCAAACAAACAAACAAATGTAAGGAGTAGGTTTTTCTGCCTGCCGTTGGTCTTGTCCTGCCGCCGCGCCAACCCCAGATAACACACAGAGACTCTGTATTTGATATATAATGCTGTTGGCCAGTTACTTGTTTCTTATCGGCTAGCTCTGTCTTAAAGTATTAATCCATTTCTATGTATTTCCACGTGGTTTCACCTACCGGGGAGTGGGGCAGGCGTCTGGTCTCCCCAGTCTCTCCATGCTGACTCCTCCTTACTCATTCCTCGAATCCTCCTTGTTTCCTAGTCCCTCCTATCTTCCTTTCCTATTGGCCAACAGTTCTTTATTCATTAACCAATATGAGAAACACACACACATATATATATATGTATATATATATATATATATATATATATATATATATATATATATTGACGTCTCCCATCATCTCCTCTTTTCTGTCTAAATAAAAAGAAGGGTTTTAACCTTAAAATAGCAAAATATATAACACAACAGTTATCAAGTAAGAATCACAGTTAACAATATTTAGTCCATTAGCATTTAGAAAGATTAAAAGAAACTAGTCTATCATCTATCCTATATTTGTGAGTCTAAGTCCTATATGTAACTTATCTTTAAGCTTAACTAAGAAAAACTATAACTATCTGTCTTCAACTCCTTCAAAGACCACAGAAGGATAATATATAAACTCTAGAAATGACAGAGACATCTTGCCTTGTCAGTCACCTGAAGTTCTTCTGTAATCTTCCATCTTCAGCCCATAGATCATAGTGTATCCAGCAGACTCTTCAACAAAGTAGGAAACCTTAAACTGTCTTCTTGTATTGGCAGTTTGTCAGTCACTTTTCTCTGTGTCCTGCAAACTGTCTGGCAGATTCTTCCATGAAGCAGGAACTCTGTAGCAATGTCCATCTTGAATCAGCAGTCACTTTTCTGTGGGTCCTGCATGTCCAGTTTATACATCACAAAGTCAAACAGTCCAGACAAGAGCAGTATATTTTCCAAATGGCTAGTCTTGCTATATTGAAAGCAAACTTCATAATGTGTTTCTTCAATGTCCATCTTCCTTTCTGATGCAGGTGGTGTTGCCAGGAACAGTTAAGTCTCATTGTCAAAAAAAACCCTAAACCATTTTAAATGCCATATTCTGTAGGTCTATATATCTAGAAAACCTAACTAACACTATAAATTTTGACTGTTATAGGTAAATATCTATAATCTGTACTAAACTATACATTACATTCCTAAATGAGCTATATAAACACAATACCTAAACAAGAGAAATATAGATATCAAAAAATTGACCTTAAATTATATCAATAAATGAAAATCCATTCCAAAACAGAGTATTCATATATATACCATAATCCCCTTTTTACCTTTAAAAAGATATTGGTTGTGATCATTAACCATTTATAACCAACCCCACTTAAATGAAAACAAACATTTATAAACAATATTTGGGAATTTGGGCATCGTTCTTTCCAAACTACTTCCTCCTGATAGGGGGCGCTGTCATGGGGGATCCTAAGAAGATTCAGAACTCCTGGCTGTAGTCTGCAAGGCTGTTTTGTCCAGCTGTTTTGAATGTAGGATCACCTGGTACTCTGTTTCAGGGGGTCTGGCTTGCTCAAACCACATTAGTCTGGAAGGAATCCACAGCTTTTCATTTTCTGTGGAAACAAAAATAGAAATCCTTTTCCCCAGTAACTTGTCCTTGAACTTAAATTTTGGAGTCAAAGCATTTTAAAAATATATCCCTAACCCTACTCCTTACAAACAAAAACAAAATAACAAAATAGTGATTTTTTTAGGGCCAAGATCAAAGCAAGATCCTTTTTAGTAAGGTTGGTTTGTTTAATTTGGTTTAAATTGTTATATAATGGCACATGCTTAGAGAATGTGGTGTCCAGGTATGTTTACAACAATGTGGACAAATAATAAAGGCTAATCAGCAACCAAAATAAAAAGTTCAGGATTCAAGCCTGGTGATACATGCCTATAATCTCAGTATTTGGGAGGTGGAGGCAAGAGAATCAGGAGTTCAAGGCAAGGCTCAGCTATATAATGAGTTCAAGGTCAGTCTAGGCCTGCCACCAAAAAAGTTTTTAAAAGTCCAGAAAAAGTAATAAGACCTACCAACATCATCATAACTCTAATTCATTATCAGAAAGGCATACATCTCTGAAATCTTTTCAAATTTAATTATATATATACATATATATATATACATATATATATATATATGGTAATGTATATGCACAATAGATGTGTCTGGTGCCTGTGGAGGTCAGAAGAGGACAATGGATTTCCTAAAACTAGAGTTAGGATGGTTGTGAGCCACTACGTGGGTACCAGGAATTGAGCAATAAGTGCTCTTAACTGCCTTAACATCTCTCTACCCCATCTCTGAAATTCGTGTCCCAAACTCATAACCTCAGTCTAATTATGAAAGGTCATCATACCAACCCATGTTGATATTATGTTCTTCAAAATAACTGAGCTGTACTTTTCAAAAATCAGTGAAGGCAGAGGCTATCACAGACTGCAGAAAACAAAGGAGACATACAATTATATTGCAGTGTATGAGATACTAGACTGGATCATGGAGGGGAAAAAGGACAATAGTTTATTTAACAGAATTGCACCCAGGGTTAGAGGTGTGGTTCAGTGATTTAAAAGAAACAGTATTACACAAATACTAATCTCATGTTTTTGATAATTTTTAATACTGTTGTGGAAATTTCCCAAGGTTATTTAGGTCGAAAATATATGGGGGCTGGATGTGATGGCACATTCCTTTAATTTCTGCACTTGGGAGGCAGAAACAGGCAAATGTTTGAGTTCTAGGCCACTCATTGCTTATAATGAGACCCTGTCTAAAAAGGGGAGAGGGAGGAATCTCAAAGAGTAGATATTCTGACCCTCCCAACCACCACCTATTGTTAAGGCTGAACTTGCAACAACAGTATTGCTCTCACCAAGAAGAGAAAGAGAGAGAGAGAGAGAGAGAGAGAGAGAGAGAGAGAGAGAGAGAGAGAGAGAGAGCACCCAGGCAAAGGAATTCCAGCCCAGAAGCTCATTGTCCTTTATGCCAAAGACCAAAAGACACTGCCTCATCCAAAAGCTCAAATGGGTCAGAAAACTGCAACATAGAAAGCATGTATTCCAGGACTGGAGAGATGGCTCATAGGTAAATTTCCAGCATCCACATGGCAGCTCACTCACAGAGTTTGTCTTAGAATTGAGACAATTCCTCCTGCTTTTTAAACTCCAGCTCCAAGAGATCTGACACCCTCTCATAGATATACATGCAGGCAGAACACCAATACACACTAAATAAAAATAAGTAGGTCGGACATCGTAGTGCACACTTTTAATCCCAGCCCTCAGGAGGCAGAGGCAAGTGGATCTCTGTGTTTGAAGCAAGCCTAGACTACAAAGCAAGTTCCAGGACAGCCAGGGTGATACAGAAACCCTGTCTCAAAAAAAAAAACACAAAAAATAAATAAACAAACAAACAAATAAATAAAAAAGAAAGGAAAGCATGTGTTCCAAAGTCATTTAACAAGAAAGTGTAAGAAGCTGGGGAAAAGGAAAAAAAAGAGAGAGAAAATAAATTAATTTAATATAGTTCAATGGTACCGTGCTTGCCTAGGCGAGGTCCTAAGTTTAGTTAAGTTACCAGCACTGCAAATTGAACCACATCCCGGGCACAGTTCTGTTTTTTCACCTTATGACACTTCCTACATCAATAATGCACACTTTGGATGCTCATTATGTGCTTCTCAAACACAATATTTATTTATTTTGTGTATAGAAGCATTTTGCCTGTATTTATGTATGCCCATCACCTGCGTGCACGGTACCTGTAGAGTTTGGGAGAGAGTATCGGATCCCCTAGAACTGCAACACAAATGGTTGAAAACCTAGGAAGATCCGAATCAAACTTCCACCGCGGTTATATCACTGAGAACTACATTTCCCAGAATGCATGGCGCGGCGCGTTCCTATGACGTTTCAAGCGTTTACAAGCTGACCGGTTTTTCCCACGGCTTCAAGACCTGTCCTTGAGGCATTGCTTTGTGGGATAGGTTGTTCCTTTGCGTCTTGGCCGGCCCCTGGCGAATTGAGCGGAAACTAAACTTCCCAGCAAGCAGCGCGCTAGCCTGGGAATCGGGACAAGATGGCGGACCCAGAGAATGTACCGCCGGCTGCCCCTTCAAAGGCCCCGATTTCTTTCAGTTTCACTCGCACGTCTGCCCGGAGGCGACTGGCCGACCCCACAGACAGCGAAGGACGAACCTCTGAAGAGAAAGATTTCTTGACGACCGTGGAAGGGAGGGAGCTGCAGAGGTGAAACACCGGGTCTTTCACGTTTGGAAATCAGTGCGGTGGGCATAAGCAGGAGGGCAGAATACGAGTTGTTTGTCTGGGTGACAGTGGCTTAGAAAGTCTCAAACACGGCCTTTAGAAATTTATGGAGGCATCCGGGAGTGGTGGCAAACGCTTGTAATGTTACCACCAGGGAGGCTGGCTCAGGAGGATCAAGAGTTGAACGCTAGCTTGGCCCTGTATGAGAGCCTATATTTAAAAAAAAGAGGAAAGAAAGAAAAGAAAACGTAATAAATTAAAATTCAATTATTATTAAATTTAATAATTTAAGGGCAAGAATGAGAAGGTTTGTTAGAGAGGCAGGTGAAAATGGGGCCTGATGACCAAAGGTATATATTCCCAGAAGAAAAACCACTGGGACTTGAGGGCGTGTGCGTTTTGAGAAAAGGAAAGGAGGGAGAATGACAGGACTCTTGGTATCTCAGCTGAAATAGTGGGAACGTCTCCGATTTGGAGAATGAGGCAAATACAGGTTGGGGAGGCCATTAGCAGCATTACTAAGAAACTGATCTGAAAGGCCTAAGGGAGGGAATAATGGAAGACAGCTGTCCGGAGGCAGTTTGCTAGCCTGGAACTGGGGAGAATCTCTACCGAAGATGGTGATTTGTCCATCATTATGGTTGAGAGCTTAGGAATGATTTCCATAAAACACATTTAAAGCTGGGGGACATGAGGAGAGGTGATGCACTCTTGTAATTTTGGCACTAAGAGGTTACACCAGGACGACTGAGTTTCTAAGGCCAGCCTGGGCTGCATAGTGAGATAATGTTTAAAAAAGAAATGGGGGGACCTGTGAAAGATAACCTGTGGAACATGGTCCATAGGGCTGGGTATTGATATCTTTACTTATCTTTACTTTCTAATGTTCCCAACCTTTTTTCTGTGTACCCACATCAGTGTGAACCCTCCAGAAGCCCCCAAGGAACTGGTCATCCCATTGATCCAGAATGGCTCTCGAAGGCAACCACTGGCCAAGAACCCTAAGCCATCCTCAGAAAGTAGGACTGCGTTGATGTCAGATGGTGTGCTGTCCCTGGCTGTGAAGGAGCTCATTGAGGGTAAGTGAAACCTACCCCTTTGCTCTGCCCTAGTGCAGATAGACAGGGAGGAAGTTGGAAGGATAGATTATGGCCTTATTGATCCTCCCATTCTTCCTTAGAATCCAAGAAGTCCATGGAAGAGAGGGAGAATGCAGGTGTTGACCCCACGCTCACTATTCCCATGGTCCAGAAAGGATGCAATCCCAGTGAGGAAGGAACAGACAGCGAACCTCAGGCTGAGACAGTGAGCTGCCCCTTTGCCATTTTTCTGCATCATTCCCTCTACCCTGTCTGCCTAGCCTCCTTGCACATGGCAGGGAAAGTGTGTATATGTGTCCCAAAGCCACGCCAATTAGCCTTTCTTCCTTCCATCCTTATTAGAAGCTTTAACAAACAGATAGCAGGCTGTCACAACAAAAAAGTACTTGAATTCTGGAATTATCTGAATGAGGTGGACAGCAAAGTGGATGGGAAATACAAAAGCCATAAGGGTACACACTCTTCAGAAGCACGTTTGTTTCCTCTTTTCTTCCTTTCTATGTTCTTTTTTAACTTGCAGTGCTTGAAGAACACTAAGGAAACCAGTGTGACTGGATTGGAATGAATGAGGGGTCAGGCCGTGTATGAAGGCAGAGGGGGCCAGATCAAAAAGGGGCTGCTAGTGTGAGTGAAATGAGAGCTATGGGAAAATCCTGAGCTGACAAGGGTTGTAACAGGATCCCCTCTGGCTGCCATGACCCAAATATGACTAATAGTGAAGGTAAGGAAGGAAGCAAGTGGCCTAGTCCAGGATAGAGGTAGTAAGGACACTTAGAGGTGTGGCAGGAGTGAAGCCTGGAAGGTTAGAGTCTGCTGAGAGAAGAAAGAGATCTTTGTGAATACCTTTTTTTTTTTTTTGAGACAGGGTTTCTCTGAACCTGTCCTAGAACTCACTCTGTAGACCAGGCTGGTCTGGAACTCACAGAGATCCACCTGCCTCTGCCTCCTGAGTGCTGGGACTAAAGGTGTGTGCCTCCACCACCCAGCATTGTAAGTACTCTTAGTGGCAGCAACAGCCTGAGAAACACGTTGTTGTAGGAAATCAGTGTGTTATGCGTGGACAAGAGGCAGCTTGCAGTGTATGGAGTAGTTGTAAAGGAATAAAGAAATGATGGAAGGTGTGTTTATGGAAGTAATGAAGTTTCGATTCATAAATTTTTTGTAATACATTTTTCTTTCAACTGAACTATTCCCTTCAGTCTTCAGATGTGCTTTTTTTTTTTTTCCTTTTGAGACAGTTTTATGTGGTTCAAGCTGACCTTGCATGCATTCTGTTGCCAAGAATGACCTTGCACTTCTGGTCTTTGTGTCTCCACCAGTATCAGGCTACGTTCTCTCCACCCCACTCCCTTTTTTGAGACAGGATCTCTAAATCCACAGTAGCTGTTAGTTCCCGTGTAGGTACTGGGAACTAAACCCTGGTCCTTTGGAAGATCAACCAAAGCCCTTAACTTCTGAACCTTCTCTCCAGCTCCCTTGGTTTTCGGTTTTTTTGTTTTGTTTTGTTTTTTTAACCTGGATCTCACTTTGGAGCTTTGTTTGGCCTTGAGCTCACAGATATCTGCTGTTCCCATGAGCTCACAGATATCTGCTGTTCCCACCTCCCCTGTGTCATGTGCCTCTAGGCCCAGTAGGTCCTCCTTTTTACAACTGAGCCTCAGACCTTCTTCTATCAATCACTTATCTTTACTTAGATGATGGCACTCCTCCCTCTGCATTCTCTGTAGCTAATTTTTTTGTTTTTGCTGTTGAGTTGGGGGGGCGGTCTCACCATGTTGCCCTGGCTGGTTCAAATTCTCATCTCATACATAGCTAGGGCTATGGATAGTGGATAGTGCCACTGTGCACAGTACTGCTTTATTTTTCTTTATCAAATGTGTCATGTTTTCAGAATTTGGTTTATTCTATGTTTTGACAACCACATCATAAGCCCTCTCCTTATCCTCAGCACCTAAAATAGCACAGAATAGGTCCTTTAAAGAGACTGGATGCTGGTGGTGCATGCCTTTGCTCCCAATACTTGGGAGGCAGGTGGATCTCCGTGAGTTTGAGGCCAGCCTGGTCTACAGAGCGAATTCCAGGAAAGGCTCCAAAGCCACACAGAGAAACCCTGTCTCTGAAGAAACCAACAAAACAAAACTTTTAAGGCATGTTTATTTTTATTTCATGTTATGATTTTCCCTGCATATATGTATGTGCACCATGGCTCTTTACTGCTGAGCTCTCTCTCCAGCCTCTATAATAGGTTCTTTGTAGATATGTGCTGAGCTGGGTGTGGCGGTGCATGCCTTTAATCCCAGCATTTAATAGGCAGGCTGATCTCCGAGTTTGAGGCCAGCCTGGTCTGGTTAACATAGAGTTTCAGCACAGCCAGAACTACATAGTGAGATCCTGTCTCAAACAAACAAAAACACTTGGGGGAGAAGATTACTATAGCAGTGGCTCAGAAAAGCGCTTGTTGCTTTTGTAGAGACCCTTGGTTGAAGTCCCCGTACCCACCAGGGCATCCAGTGCCGTCTTCTAACCTCCACTGAAACCAGGCACACACATGGTATTCAAGGGCCAGTGGTATAGGAAGTCACCTCATAAGTGCCAGCAAATACTGCAAACAGGGCCATCACAAACAAAGCTGACTCCCTTCTCCTACTTGACCTATAGGTGCCAGAGGAAGCCGACTATGAAGCAGTTCCTGTGGAGGCCTATGGGCTGGCCATGTTGCGGGGCATGGGATGGAAACCTGGCAAGGGCATCGGCAATACTTTCAGTCAGTGAGTTTGGTGGGGGGGGGGGGGTTGGGGTGGACAATGGGTATAGATAAGACCCCATAGTTATGTCTAATCTAAAACCATCCAAGTGGTGAGGGAAGGACATTGTCACCCTCACCAGTTCAGTAGTCATCCACTACTGTTTCAAACTCCAGTTTCCACTTAGCCTAGGTTCAAGCTCATTATTGCAAAAAGAATAAACCAAAAAAGCAACAGCCTCAGATATGCCTTCAAAACAGTATATAGTTTCCTCTTTGTGGGTCCATTTGCTCATCTGAAAAATGCAAATGGTAGTGATGCCTTCCCAGATTTGTTGCAAGGGTTAAATGAAAGTATCTTCATGAGACACACATGGTAGGATTTAGTCCCTAGTAAGCAGATACTAAACATGCTTACTCTTACTTCATAGACTTATAATCCCTTAGTTGGGCTGCTGTGTAGCTCAGTGATAGAAGCTTACCTAACATGGAAAAGGCCCTGAGTTCCATCCTGAAGACTGAAAAAAAGTCCTTTTGTAGTTGTAAATCCTCAAAGAATTCTGAAGTCATATGGTAGCCAAATATGACTACAATTGGTATTGAACATTCAGAACTGTTCCCCTTGTTCTGTATTCATATGATTTCTTCTGTACAGATATTACTATATTTGTTTATATGAACTTGACATGGCACTTGTAGATAGGATGGAATGGATTGTATATGCAACAAGTTAATTCACTTGAACCAAATGAGATTGCTATTTTGGGGGGCTGAAAGTGTAGCTCAGTGGTAGACAATGCTTATCATGCATTGAGGCCTTGGATTCCACCCCTAACTCCAGAAAAGTTGACATTTTCATAGCTCAGAAAGTTCTAATGTGATAGCTCAGAAAGTTCTAATGTGATATCAGAAAGGGTAATGTAAATATAGATGTGGGGCTGGTAAGATGGCTGGGCAGGTAAAGGCCCTTGCCTGTAAACCTGATGATCTCAGAATTCACATGGTAGAAAAAGAATAGACTCTCACAAGTTCTTCTCTGATTGTCACATGTGTGCCATGGTGTACAAGCATACACAAATAAATAAAAAATATAAAACTAAGTATTTCTGGGGTGCGTTTGGATGCTGGTAGGCAAGTGTTGAAGACTTGTACTCCCATGAGTGTGTGTTCTTCTCTGCAGAGTAGTGAAGCCCCGAGTCAATACTCTGAGGCCGAAAGGCCTAGGACTGGGTGCCAACCTGATGGAGGCCAAAGCCTTGGCCTCCGCTGGCTCTCATCACCCACCAAGACCAGATGGGGATCGAGAGAAGCATAAGGAAGGGTTGATGCCTGGAGGAGCTGTGGTGGTCCTTTCTGGCCCTTTCAAGGGCCTATATGGGAAGGTAAGAAACCAACATATCCCTCAAGCCATGGAAGGTAGCAGGGAAGATTAATTGGAGAACCAGAGTGAGGAAAAGTTGTGGATAGAAAGGCTGCCAGTCTAACCAGCTAAAATGGTGCATGCCTGTAATCCCAACACTCCAGAAACCAAGGTAGGGAGATGACAAATTCAAAACCTGCCTGGATTACATAGTAAATCCAAAAGCAGCCTAGTAACTTTCTGAAGTGGGGGAAAAAAAGAATTTCAAAGGATAGAGATCTGGCCCAGTACTAAGAAGCACCTAACAGGAAAAAATAAAACCATGAGAAAGAAGCAAGCCTATAAGCACTTAGGAGACTGAAGCAGAAGAATTTCCAAGAGTTCAAGGCCAGCCTAAGATACATAACAAACCTTTTTCCAAAAATAAATAAAAAGTCACAACCAATCAAAGTACAGAGTTGTGAAGCCCAGTCCCAATAGATACATCTACAAAACATTTCTGAACCCAAAGCTCAGGGACCATTGCAGAAAAGGAGCCAGAAAGATTGTAAGAACAAAGGATCAGGGAGGAGATTGCTGTGAGATTGTTGTCTCTTAGCACGATCTGAAGCTACACCCATAAAGTCTCAACAACATGGCTGCCCAAACACGAGCTGATCAAGGATGATACGAGTGAACATGCCCGACTGGAAGGAGAAAAACCTATGAGGCCTCAATCCCACACAAAGAACTACAGGCAATTAAGGAAAGCTGGGAACGGGAGAGGTGGCCTTCCCCAGGGAAGAGCAGCACACCAATTGGTTGTTCAGTGCCGAACAGCCCTGAAGACACATACATGTAGCATTAGATGAACTGAACAGGTTATATTTAGGGATATATATGCATATCCAAATATAAATATACATGATAACAATTGGTAAAAAAGGAGGCCATGGATTTGAAAGAGTTGGGAGGGATATATGGGAGGGCTTGGATGGAGGAAAGGAAAGGGAAAAGTGTTGTAATTAAGCTACAATCTCAGAAATTTACAAAAATGTAATTAAATGAAAGGGGGGGGGAAGACAAGGGATGGTCATAGTAACATACTTGAGAGATTGAGGTGGGAGGATTACTTAAAAGTCAGGGCTATCCTGACCTATGTAGTGAGTTCAAAGCCAGTCATATAGGTATGTATCGAAACCATGTGTCAAAAAACAAATAACAAAAAAAAAAAAAAAAAGAAGAGAAGGGTCTGGGGAGATGAGATGGCTCAATGAACAAAGTGCTTACTACACAAGCTTGAAGACTGGCATTCAGACACTGGAACCCACATAAAAGCCAGGAAAACGTGACAGCTGCAAGCTGTTCTAGCATTCACTAGGAAGTGATAGAATCCTCAGAGCAACCTGGCTATATTAGCCTGAACTTACCAGCTCCAGGAAAGTGCAGACCGACTGAGGGAGACACCTGATAACAAAATTGAGCCTCTACATGTGTCTGCACACATGTCACACACATATATATAGCAAAAAAAAAAAAAGGTTTGGTTGGTGTTTTGTTTTTTAAATGAGCTCTGGTTGTTTATTTAAAAAGAGCTTTTTTGGTTTACTTTTCATCAATCTGTTCTGGTATGCTTCTAATAATACCAGAATTATGGCAAGCCAGTGCACTTACTCTGTCTTTCCACTTGCTGTGCCCAATGCTGCCACTCACAACACAGATACCAGTTTTGGACAACATGGCATAATATTCTGTTTCAGATTGCCTCAAAGCTGGCAGTTGTTGGTGAGGATAACCAATGTTCTTTGCCCTGTTTGATCATCTTCAGAGTCTGCTTATATCCCAGCATCTATTTTTCACTTTTCATAACAAACTGGATCCTAGAGTTAATTTACTCCAGACACCTTTGTATCTCTGTTGCTATCATCTTCCTATCTTATGTTCAGGATAGCCCCCAATAAGAGCAGCCACCAAAATGGCCAGGTAGTGAGAAAGGAAGGAACTCCCATAATGCAAAGCTTTTCATGGCCTGTTATTGTGTGCCTTTAATTCCAGCATTCAGGCAGAGGTCAGCCTGGTCTACATGGTGAGTTCCAGGCCAGTCAAGATTACATAATGACACCTTGTCTCAAAACAACAAGAATAAGTGTATTTGTGTAGTTATTTATAGGTGAGTGTAGGTGCTCAACATTTGGTTCCCCCTAGAGCTGGATTAACAAGTGTTTGTGAGCCACCCAGCATGGATACTGGGAACTGAGCTCAGCTCCTCTGCAAGAGTAACAGTTGTCTTAACTGCTGAGCTATCTCTCCAGCCCTGTAAGTCCTAGTCTTGCAGGCCTGCCTGGCCCACTGCTTCAGTAGGTACTCCACAACAATTTGCTGGGCTTTTTGAGTCTCAGTTCTCAACCAAAAGGGAGAAAATGTCATCCCACAATTTCCATGAAACTTAAGTGTTTAAAGGATGTCTGAAGCAAACATGGTGGCTTATGAATGCAAACCCAGTACCTCAGAAGCTGAAACAGGAGAACTGCTGAAAGTTTGAGGCCAGCCTCGGTTACATAAGTACTAGTCTAGCCTGGAACCTATCTTGAAAAATGTGAGAGGTGGAGGGTGTTTAGAGTGCATGTGAGAGGGCAGAGAGTGAAAGGGAGGGAGGGAAGGCTGGGGGGAGGGAGGGAGAGAGGGAGGGAAAGGGAACTGGGATCGAAATTAAAAAAAAATCTAAAAAAAAAAAAGAAAAATGTGAGAGGTGGGGAGATGTCTCAGTGTAAAATGATTGACTAGCATGCAAACATGACATGAGTTCAGATCCTCAGCACCCACATAAAAGCCAGGCATACATGCATCTATAACCCAAAGCTGGGGAGTAGAGACTCTAGGTGGATCTCCCGAGCTTATCGGCCAGCTGAATCAGTGAGCTCCAGTATCACTGCCTCAAAAAAGGGTTGTGGGGCTGGAGAGATGGCTCAGCCATTGAGAGCACTTGCTGTTCCTCCAGATGATGACCTGTGTTGATTCCCAACACCCAAGATGCAGCTCACAGCTGGCTGTCACTCTAGTTCCAAGAGATCCAATACCTTGGGCTCAGCAGACACCAGGCACATACCTGCAGGCAAAATATGCACACATATGAACTAAAAATTTCAAAGAAGTAAGGTGTTTTATACCTTTGATCCCAGCACTTAAAAGGCCAAGGCAAGTAGATCTCTGTAACTTTGAAGCCAGCCTGGTAATATATTAAGTGCCAGGCCAGTCAAGTCTAGCTACATAATCTCAAAAAAGCATAAGGTGATGAACATTCAAGAAAGACACCTGATGTGGACATCTGTCCTCCACAGACACCTCACAAACAGTAGGCGTGTTATTTATATATATATATATATATATATATATATATATATATATATATATATATATAACATACACACACAAAGAAGTCTATGTTTTACATTTTGCTAAGAGAGACACAGCAAAATGCCTGGTCCTGCTTTTTAGAAGTCACAGTTTAGTAGAAAAGATAAAGAAACCTGGTCCTATCCATCAAAGGTCACAGCATAGTGGTATACACGTTTAATCCCAGCACTCAGACTGGTGGATTTGAGTTATAGGCCAGCCAGGGCTACATAGTGAGAACCTCTATTCAAAAACAAAACAAACTAGTTAAAAGTCACAGCAGGGTAAGAGACACAGAGCTCAAACCTGTTGGAGGTAAGGGCTTGACTTTTTAGACCTAGCAGCTGCAGTCCATTCACACACACACCACACACCCACACCCCCACCTTATCCCTATTTCCCACCTTAGGTAGAAGGCCTTGATCCTGACAATGTACGGGCCATGGTTCGGCTGGCAGTAGGCAACCGCATTGTGACTGTGAGTGAGTATTGCCTACAGCCTGTTACCCAGCAGGAGTTTGATAGCCACGCCTCACAGCCAGGTGAGACTCTTATAGCTGGAAACTTGGGAAGCATGGTGACAGGCAGGGTCTCTCCAGATCTGGAGGGAGGAAGAGCAGTGTGGGACTTCCAGTCGGAAGTCAGGCATGGGAAGGGACAAGAATAGTTTATTCATTTTGTTTGTTTGTTTGTTTGTTTGTTTGTTTGTTTGTTTGGTGGTGCTGGGAATAGAACCCAGAGCCTTGACACTGCTACCATGGAGCCACATCCCCAAACTAGTTTGTTCAGTTTGACTGTGAAGGGGTTGATCTAGTACCCTGCATCTTCATCCTCTCTAAGCAGCAAGAAATGTGTATGGAAACCAATTCCTACCCCTAGGAGGTCCTTGTGTATTTGGAGTGATGGTCCTCTCTCTTGCCAAATATGAGACTAGGGTTGGGGTGTGTGCAAAGGAGAGACAAACAGAACATTAGCGGCTATGGGGAAGCTTGGGGGTCCCTGTAGTTCTTCCCACTCTGTCAAGAGCACCAGGCAGTTGACTCTGCTGTGTCTTTGCTGTGGGCTGGGTGTTTGAGAGGAGCTTCCTGAAAGAGGTGAATAAGAAACAGGGCCTTTGACAGAAGGACAGTGACCCTTGAGAGGAAATGCTGGTGAGACTTTCTCCTTGATGTCCCTACACCCCCTTGAACAGGCCACATGAGCAAAACCTCCACAGAACATCATAACAGAACAACTGGAACAGGCGTGTCATTGAAGGCCCTCCAGAATCAGGAAGACTCAAAGAGGAGGCAGAAGGATTCAGAGAGGAAGCGGAAACACTCCACAGACCGGTAGGAGCCCCAACCTCTGGGCTTGCAGAAGAAGGCAAGGTATGGGGTGGCAGTCAGGGAAAGCTTCCAAGGCAAGGCAGGACAGAGAAGGAACTGAGAACAGCAATAGGGGTGGGTTTTCCAGTGTGCCTTTTAAAGATAGGTTGGCTTTAACATGGGTATGACAAAAAACTAAGCCAGATGCTGGCTTTCTCCACAGACAGGATAGACCTGTGGCAAAGAGTGAGAAAGCAACCTCTAAGAACAAGCATTGGCTGCACAGGGACTTACGTGTGCGGTTCATTGACAAACAGCACAAGGGTGGCCGGTATTACAACACCAAGGTATGAACCCCACAACCTGAGTCCCCTTCCTCACCCAAGGACTTGGCCTGTGTCGTTTGTGACATCTTACTTCCTCCTCATTCATCTCTAGATGACAATTGAAGATGTCCTGAGCCCAGGTACTTGTGTATGTCGGACAGATGAAGGCCGAGTTCTAGAAGGTAAGTCTGAGCCACCATACCTGGGATGTTAGCATCCTAGAGGATGATAAAGTAAGAATCTATTTCAGGGGCTAGAGAGGTGGCTCAGTAGTTAAGAGCACTGGCTGATCTTCCAAAGGACCCAAGTTCAATTCCAAGCCACCACATGGAAGCTCACAACTGTAACTCCTGTTTCAGAGGATTTGACATCTGTCATCAGTGAGCAACAGACAGAAACAGTGCCACAAACATACATGCAAGCAAAACACTCATGCACATAAAATAAATCTAAAATATATTTTTAAGAAGAAAGAAGGGATCCATTCTAGTGCTTAGGAGGCTGTCAGGGTTCCCACAAGTCCAAAGTCAACCTGAACTAAAGTGAGTTATAGGCCAACTTGGGTTGTGTTGTAAGAACCTGTTTTAAAAAGAAAAGGAAAGCTGGGCAGTGGTGGCACGCACCTTTAATTCCAGCACTTGGGAGGCAGAAACAAGTGGGTCTCTGTGAGTTCGAGGCCATCCTGGTCTACAGAGCCAGTTCCAGGACAGCCAAGGTTACTCAAAGAAACCTTGTCTTGAAACTGCCCCCAAAAACTAGAAAAGAAGGAAGTAATGAACGAATGAAGGAACAAAGGAAAGAAAAGAAGAGCCAAGAGCTAGGAAGTTGGACAGGGTTCAGATTTCTCTGCAAGACCCAGCATCCTCTTCCAGAGCAGATACTTCCCTGACAGGAATTACCCAAACCCTGTATATTTTCTGTGTCAGATTAGTGTTAAAATGACTATTTGTCCCTATCAAAACTATTGCCTTTGCAGGAAGAAGTGTATTGAGCCCACACTGCAGGGCAGACTAAGAACATTCCCAGTAAATATTTTCTGTAAGGAAATGTTCCTGTATGGTGGTTATTTCTGTGAACTACTCCTTGGTTTTCTCACCTGTGAAATGGGTAGAGTGGGACTGTAGTGGCAATTTATGCCTTTAATCCCAGCACTTGGGAGGCAGAGGCAGGTGGATCTCCATGAGTTCAAGGCCAGCCTGGTCTATAGAGCAAGGTCCAAGACAGCCAAGGCTATACAGAGAAACCCTGTCTTGGGGATGGTGGGGGGGGGTAGCTCTAATAAATATTAACAAAGGCCCTCCTGACAGGATCTGGCCAGGCTGGCCCTTGGTGTGGACCTCATTCCCTTCTCCCTCATCTGCAGGTGTGAGAGAAGACATGCTGGAAACCCTGATTCCCAAGGGAGAGGGCCACCGTGTGATGGTGGTGCTGGGAACACATGCTGGAAAGGTGGGTCCCCATGCCTGGCAATGAGTGTGGAGATCACTGAGGATCTGGGCCGATCTTGCTGACTGTATGCCATCTCTCCTCAGGTGGGACTTCTTCTGAGTCGGGACAGCGTGAAGAGTCAGGCTTTGGTACAACTTAAGAGAGAGAATCAGGTAGTGGAGCTCCACTATGACGCTATCTGCCAGTACGTGGGTCCCAGTGACTCAGATGAAGACTGACATGTGGACCACTGCCATCACCCAGGCCGTCACTAGTTGTGTAGCAATCTATAACAGATGCCATGGAGAAGATGGGAGATAATTGTTCTGTCCTGCAGGGACAGGGATGTGAGTGGATAGACCCAACTATTTACCAAAATTTAGAATATAATAAAAACCATTTTTAAAAGTAGGAAGGTGAGATCAAAACCAATAGGTGAGCTGTGGATTCAGGTGAGAACTGAGGTGACTCAGATGGAACTACTTCATCTCTTAGCCTCATTTCCCTGCTGAGGGTGCAGGACAAGTTAAATTACCCATCCAATACAGAGCTCACTCTTGCAGCATAGAAACTATGAAATCTGTCCCCAAACACTATAGAACCTCCAGTGCTATATCTCAGAACAGCTTCCTAAGTTTGGATCTTGAATGGCTTTCAAAGGCCCATATTTTTCTTTTTTAAAAGTGTATTATATTTTTAGTTACATGTATATGTGTGCCTGTGTGAGAGTGTGTGATTATGAGTACAAATACTGTCGACACCATGAGTGTTAAGTCCTCCTGGAGTTAAGTTACAGGCAAGTACAAGCTGCCAGATATAGGTGCTAGGAACCAAACTTGGGTCCTTTGAAAGAGCAGCAAGCACTCCTCGTCACTGAGCCATCTCTCCAGCCCATATATCCGTATCTTAAAGGATTCTTGCCCAGGATGATGCTAGTAGCACCTATTGCTGACCTTTGAAAGATAAAGACCTGGTAGAAATTACTTAGGTCATGACTTAGAACCTCCAAAACTGTGAACCAAACTCTACTTTTCTTCCTTTAATTATATCTGGTAGTTTGTCAGATTAAGGGAAAACTGACTGCTGCTCCCACCGAGAACTCTAGTAGGGGCATCTGTTATTCTTGATCCAGGGCAGACCTCCAGGAATGCCACTGAGCTGATGATGCACTGAAGAGAAATGGAGTTACTTCTAACTTCCAAAGGAGCTAGTCACTTGTAGTCCCAAAACATTAGCTTGGAGATAATAAGGTATTTCCGATTTGTGCAGTCTGCTTGCCCTAGGTGACTGTTCTGAAAAAGGTTATCCTGAACATTTTTCCTGCTTAATGGCCAAAAATAAAAATCAACAAGAGAAGTCAGAGCCTTAGACACAATTGCTTCTAAATCATCTTTGAAGCTTAAGTCATTCATGCAGTAAATGTTAATTGACTTAGATCTGGGCCACAGGTACAAAACAAAACAAACAAACAAACAAAAAAACCTAATTCGTCAGCCTATGACACATTGAAAAGAATCAAAACACCCCAGAACATGATGATAAAGGGATAGGGCTCAGTGTTGGTGTATGTGCCTAGCATATGTAAAGCCTTGGATTCCACCCCCAGTACCACCAGGAAAAAAGTGAACCAGAGGCAAACTGAACTGTGGCCAAAATGAACAGACATAGACATGAGTGACCAAGTGTGCTAGCCCATGTCCATAATCTAGCACTTGAGAGGCTGAGACAGGAAGATTTCCATGAGTTCTAGGACAGTCTAAGCTTCATCAAAAGACCCTTTCTTCAAAAACTAAAAAATAGGAAATGTTCTGGGTGTGATAGCACTGAAGAGGCAGAGAGAGGTAGGCAGATCTCCATGAGTGAAAGGCCAAACTGGTCCCCATAGCAAGTTCCAGGTCTGTCAGGGTTACATAGTAAGACCCTGTCTCAAAATAGATATAGGGGACTGTGGCGTTTCTCCTATTATATTATCCCTTTTATGTCTCTTGTCTAATTGTTATAGTTAAGACTTTGACACTGTAAAAAATAAGATAGGGGCTAGTGGGCATCTTATCTCATTCCTGATTTTAGAGGAAATGCTCACTATGCCTTCATTTAATATAATGTTGGGTATAATATAATGTTGGTTTATTGTATATAGCCTTTATTATTTTGAAGTACTTTCCATCTATTGCTACAGACTCCAGAGCTTTTATCACAAAAACATGTTGAAATTTGCCAAGTATTTTTTCAGCTTCGACTTAAATAATTAATGTGATTTCTGTCCTTGAGTTTGTTTATATGATCTATTCCATTTACTGATATATGTATGTTGAAACAACTTTGCCTTTCTGGGATGAAGCCCACTTGGTCGTAATATGTGTAATTTTCTCAATGTATTTCTGAATTCAGTTTGTAAGCATTTTGTTAAGAATTTTTACATCTTTGTTCATCAAAAAATTTGGTATGTAGTTTGTTTTTTCTTTCTTCCTTCTTCTCTTCCTCCTCCTCCTCTTCTTTCTTCTTGCCTTTACCTGGTTTTGGTATCAAGATGATTGTGGCTTTTTGATGACATGATTCCTTACCTAAAAGACACTATTAAGCCTGCTAGGAAACTCATGGACCTAATAAACACTCAAGAGTAAGTTATAGGATACAAATTCATTATTAAAAACAGCCTTTCAGCACTCAGAAGTCAGAGGCAGGCGGATCCTTGTGTGTCCAAGGCCAGCCTGGTTTACTTAGAGTTCCAGGTAAGTCGGGGCTGCATAGGGAGATTGTCTCAGAAAAATAAAACAAAACAACAATAACAAAAAAAAAACAGCAAGTAGCCTTTATTTATACTAACAGGCTATTCTCCAAGAAAGAAAATAGGAAACATTCCATTTAAAGTAATTCCTCCAAAAGTATTTAGGGATATTTCTAATCAAAGAAGTGAAAGACCTCTACAAAGAAAATTTCAAGATATTAAACAAAGAAATTACAGGAAAATTATTCCATATTTTAGGATAGACAGAATTAATATTGTGAAAATATGTATACTACCAAAATTAATTTACAGAATTTATGCAGGACCTATTAAAATTACCATGTCGTAGTTCTCAGGTTTAAAAACACAATTCATTTAAAACCACAAAAGAGCATGTACAGTCAAAGCAGCTATATAGAACCTATCAAACATCAATTGCACTACAGAGCTGTAGTGATAAAGACAGCCTGGTACTTGGAAAAAAATAGACAGACCAATAAACTAGAATACAGGACCTGGAAATAAAATGACTAAGCTATCCCCAGTTTTTTAAACAAAGAAAACAAGAACATACTTTGAAAAAAGAACCTAGGAACTGGAGAGATAGCTCAGTGGTTAAGAGCACTTGTTGATCTTGCAGAGGACCAAGGTTTAATACCCAGAACCCAAATTAGATGGTTTACAGCCTCTATCAAAGACTTGAATTTAAAACCTGAAACACTGGCTGAAGAGATGGCTCAGAGGTTAAGATCCTTAGTTGTTCTTCCTGAGATTCTGAGTTCAATTCCTAGTAACCACATGATGGCTCACAATCATCTGTAATAAGATGTGGTGCCCTCTTCTGGCAAGCCTACATATAATAAACTTTAAAAAAAAAAAAAAAAAAAAAAAAAACCCTGAAACTCAAACTTAGACAGAAACACGGTATTTGGGATTCATGTGTTCCTTTTCTTTCTATGGTCTCAATATGTAGTCCTGGCTTCCCTGGCACTCCCTGTGTAGACCAGACCAAGTGCTGGGATTAAAGGCATGTGTCACCACTCCTGGCCTAAAGAACTATTTTGAATAGAACACAGGAACTAACCCAAACTATCAACAAATGGGAGTGCATGAAAATGAACACTTTCTATACAGCAAAGGGAACAGTGGGCAGATCCAACAGCCTACATAACAGAAGAAAATCTTCACTATCTATACCTCAGACAAGGAAGGGATATCCAGAATTTACAGAGAACTGCAGAAATTAAATACAAAGGAAACAAAACTGCCGGTCATCAAATGAGAAAGTGAACTGAATAGACAACTAGAAATACAAACAAGCTGGGTGAGGTGTCACGCGCACACCTTTAGTCCTACCTAGCACTTGAGAGGCAGAGGCTGGTGGATCTTTGTGAGGCCAGCCTGATCTACAGAGTGGGTTCCAGGACAGCCAAGACTACACAGAGAAACATTGTCTTGAAAAGAAAAAAAAACAACAAAAAACTACTTTGCGATATCACCTCACCCCAGTCAGAATGACTATCAATAAATCTGACAAACAATGTTGGAAAGGGTGTGGAGAAAGGAAACCTTACTCACTGTTGGTGCGAGTTAAGAAAGTCATTGTGGGAAATACTTTTGTAGACTTCTCAAAGACCTAAAAATGGAAATGTGATATGACCCAGCTATTTCACACCTAGGCATATATCCAGTTAACTCCATATCTACCGTAGATAATGGCACCCCGATATTTATTACTGCTTTAATCACTAAAGGAATGGAGTCAATCTAGTTGTCCATTAACAGATACACACAGACCAGATTTGCATTAGCCATATATTTAAAAAATGGAGTGTTAGCTGTGCACAAGTCTGTAATAGCAGCACTCGAGGCAGGAAGATCAATGAGTTCGAGGCCAGCCTCGTCTACAAAGTAAGCTCCAGGACAGAGAATCCCTGTCTCAAAAAAAAAAAAAGGAATGTTGTTCAGCTCTAACCAAAAAAAAAGTTAAGTATTTGCAAGAAAATGGACAGAATATATGTATCTATATGCATTTATGTCTGTGTACTGAAAGACCCCCACTATGCTTATTGCCTGTTTGAATTGCTCTTGCTAATTTGCCAAGGTCAAGTTATGAGAAAAGTACAGGAGGGAACCAGGTGCTGCTCTCATCCGACGCCAACCAGATATCTGTGGTCTGCAGCTTGGACTAAAGCAAGGTCAGCAGGATGGTATCTGGGATGCTGAGATAGTCATAACTGAATTCTTTGTATTCTTTGTGCCCAACCCGAATAACCAACTGTCCTTGGTTAACTACAACTGCTACATTTAGATGAAACAATGGAATCCCTGTAACCATGCTTCTGCTTCTGTAAGCCTGCTTCTTGCCACACCAACCTTATATAAACTGCATATGCTTTAACCAGGCACGCTCACTCAATCTCCCGAAAGATTGAAGCGTCCACAGGTACCTGTGTGTAAACAATAAATAACCTCTTGCACTTGCATCCAGTGGTCCGGTCTTGTCTCTTGAGGGCAAGGGCCTTCCCCCCTGACAGGCTCCAAACTCTTGGGGTCTGCTGGGGTCTTTCAGTACCACGTGAGGAACTGGTACCTGTAGAGGCCAGGAGAGTGCTTTCATTCCCCTGTGAATGCTAGGGATAAACCCAGTCCTTTGGAAGAGCAGCAATCTTTAATTCTGAGCCATCTTTTTAGCTCAGTTACTATTTTTATTATTATTCTTTTCCTTTTTTTTGGCGGGTCAAGATGGTTTCACTATGTCATGAAAGTCACTCTGTAGACGGGGCTATCCTCAAAATCACAGAGATCCACCTGCCTCTGCTTGCCCCTCTCCCGTGATCTGAGCAACATTTAGTATTCTCCCACACCCCCTCGACCCTCGTTGGTCACTCGTGTAACCCTAGCTCTCTGCAGGTTAGCAGGAGGATCTCATTGAGTTTTAGGTCAATCTGGCCAACACAGTATGTTCGAACCATCCTGGACAATATATAGTGTGCGACCCTGTCTCACAAATAAAAACCAGGTCGCCTCACCAACTTTCCCCTGTCATCTTAGTAGTCTCATGACTACCCACCCTCAGAATTTGCGCTCAGGGAAGTATCCGCCCCCAGGGCCCCAGGCCCGTGTGTGACGCTAGCCCGGCCCAAACCACTGCGCGAGACCCGAGGGGCGCCCCCTCCTCGGAGCCGCTGGACTGAACCACAGGGCATCGGACGGGGGGGGATCGGGAGCGGAGCGGCCGCCGGGCGCAGCCGCGGCGAGGGGCGACCATCTTGGAACGTTCCACTTGCCGAGGGTGGAGCAGCGGGGAAAACGAGGAGGAAGTGCCTGGCCCTCAAACGGCTGCGAGTCCGCTCGCCCCAAGAGCCCGCCATGGCCGGTTTTCTGTCACTGGCCGCTGGCCGCTGGCAGAATCGAGTCAGCGGCACGCCTCGATCCCATGCACCACGTTCACACGGTCCTCCCCTGACCCCTCTGATCCCTCCATTTGGAACCTGCTCCCAAGGCTCGCACGCAGGCCATTGGCTCAGGAGCTGCCGTGGTGGACTCTGATTGGTCAAGGGCTGCTGCTTTCTGAGGCTGCGTGCGCGACTGGACGTAAATTAGCTCCGCCTCCACCCTTGCGCCCTTGCACCGTTGCACCAGGTTCCTGGAACTGCTTCCAGACATGCGCAGTGGTTGTAGCCGGTGGCTATGCATCCTGCCAAAGCCAGGTTTTAAGGACCTAGAGTCGTGGGTTCAAATACCACCTCGTGTGTAAAATTGGTCGCGTGTAGAAGGTCAGCAGAGGGTACTTATTTACCGTCGGAGGTTAGTGAGATCGCACACCAGTCCGTAGTGCTTTTATCATAAACTTTTTTTGAGGTATCAGGTCAAAAGTTGTCAATGCTGTTGTGCATACAGGTGCATACTTTAATCCCAGCACTAGGGAGGCTGAGACAGACTGATTTTTGAATTCTGGGTCATCCTGCTCTACATAGTTCCAAACCAAACAGGGGGGCATGGTGATAGAAACAGGCAATAAATAATCTCAACCTTGTACAAAAGAACACTCAAAGGGAAAGTAAAGTAGCTAGGTAAGGTAATTCTTGGGGACGAGGGTGTCAAAAGAAGTGTTAGAACATTTTACACTATCCCCCCACCTTGTTTTGGTTTTGCAAGACAGGGTTTCTCTGTGTAGCTTAGAAGGCTGTCCTGGAACTAGCTCTTGTAGACCAGGCTGGCCTCGAACTCACAGAGATCCACCTGCCTCTGCCTCCTGAGTGCTGGGACTAAAGACGTGCACCACCACCATCCGGCTCTTCTCCCTTTTTTATTAAGCTTTTTTATTTCAAACTTAGCAAGCATACATTGACCATTTGAAGTCTCTAGTAGCAGTACATTACTGTTATAAGTTATGGCTTAAACATGGCTTAAGGCAGAGGTTCTCAACCTTGCCAATGCTGTAACCCTTTAAGATAGTTCCTCACGCTGTGGTGAACCCCCAACCATAAATTGTTTTCCTTGCTACTTCCTGTTATGAATCGTCGTGTAAATATCTGTGTTTTCTGGTGTTCTTAGACAACCCCTATGAAAGGGTCATTCCTCAGCCCCTAGGGGTCACAGCCTACAAGTTGAAAACCACTGGCTTTTTAAGGCCAATATACCTCCCAAAGGGTAGTTCCTTGATCAAGCTATTGAGCTGATCCAATTGGAATATGAAGTTTTCACCCTGTGCAAAACTTTTATACTCTTGACTAGAAAGAGATTTGTCTTTACAAGCCTTTAGTGCTATTTTACTATTCTTTCCTCTGAAAGGGCCACTCTAGAATTGTTTAGGAGCTAGATTAGAGATCTTGTTTCCCAAAACACGGTCTATCTGGTCTTGGACAAGGAAGAAGCTGCCAAGAGGACCAG